AAGTTCCACAGCTAGACACAGGCTCCAGGGGCAAGAGCGCCCAGGGCGACCAGGAACCCCACTACGACGAGCCAGATATTTACACCAGCAGTCGCACAATCACCTAGCCAACAAACGCCTTTTTCATACAGCTGTGTACAGAGTGACTCCTCCACCCAGTAAATCAGCAGCTTGCCTTGACTTTGTAAAAGCCAATCTGACATCGACCTTACCTCGGTGATCCTCCCCACCACGATGTCTCCCACTTCACCATTGTATCTGGAAGAGAAAACACGACATCACCGCCAGGGAACGGACGCCTGCAGAACCACACACCATCTGAAACTTGCTTCAACAGGACGAGGCCCTCAGTGAGGCACTGAATTTGGGCAAATTCATGCAACGACACTGTTCGGGGTTATCTTCAGAAACTGATGAACACCTAACTCTGCTACATTGTAGCAAGTCTCCATTAACTATCCCTAAGCAAATCACACACCGTTCAGCCTAAACTGCCGGTCTTGTTAGGTTCTACGCCAACGAAAAGCAGGGACGATTTTCCCATGGAACAGTTCTGCCCCAGGTGAAGAGAGAAGAGCCCATGCAAGCAGGCCCTGCGCTAAGCTGCAGCCTTTTATAAAATACCACGGTTCATTTTTATCTTCAGTCCAGCACATATTTATAGAAAGGCCGGCTATGCTGGGTCCTGGGAGAATGCTTCATTTCATGAAGAAATGGATCTGGAGATTTCCTGGACCGGGCCAGCCCCTAGTGCTGTGGTTAAACGCTGTGCAGAGTTGGAGTCCCACACAGGGCCAGCTGTGGCCATCCAGACCAGTCTCCTCGCATTTCCCCACCCCTGCTGCCCAGGGCCTTCCCTCTTCCTCATCAGAGTCTAATGCCGAACTGCTCCATGCTGAAGGTGCACTGCGCAGGCCTCGACTCTCCGCTCACACTCACCTCTTGGTGCGCTCACCCAATCTAACACCTTAAACTCCACTGCTGAGGGACCAGCAGTTGGCGTAATGGCTATGTCGCTGGACTCCTATGTACTCGACTGCAGTTCGAGTCCTGGACCTGGTGGCTTAACTCACGCTGAACACATGTGCGTGCGTGCCCAAGATCCCGAGAGAAGAATAGAGGAGAAAGGGACTGCGGCGTGGCCATCCCCCCTGCGGGGTGACTTCTCACTTTCTGTCTCTCTCTGTCTTTCTGGCAAGCACACACGCCCTATAGCAAAAACCTCTCAAAAAAAAAAACTCCAGGGAACCAGCAGTTAGCGTAATGGCTATGTCGCTGGACTCCCACGTAGTCGACCGCGGTTCGTGTCCCGGACCCGGTGGCGTAAATCTCACGCCGGGCGTGTGTGCGTGCGTGCCCAAGATCCCGAGAGGAGAATGGAGGAGAAGGGATTGCGGCGTGACCATGCCCCCTGGGGGGTGATTTCTCGCTTTCTGTCTCTATGTCTCTGTCTGTCTG